ATTGTACTGCTTATTCAGAGATCTCAATGTGTTTAATGGATTATTAAGATAATTATGAAAATGTCTAATTTGCAGATGGGGGCAGCTGACACAGAGAGGGTGAATGTGTTGCCCAGAGGCACACATCAAAGTCAGAGAAGAAAAGGGAATGGAGCTCAAGACTCCTGCCTTACATATCTCATTCAAACAAAATCCTCTTAGAAAGAGCACAGGTTGAACTCAGCCTGAAATGCTGAGATGTAAACAAGTTCTGCTAAGCGGTGGGAATGTTCATTAAAAGAAATATTTAATCAAAAAGATGTGCTTTGCCCAGCAGTACCTCTCTAATCCACCCAAAGCTGCTCCCCTATGAGGAGAAATGCTGCACAGGGTGACACCTTTCCCAAAGAACGGTGACTCTTGAGAGGGTCCTTAGCAGAGCTGATGAAAAGTGGAAAAATGGGGCAACAGAATACAGCGTTTTCTTAGGCTTGCTCTCTCTGCTTCCTGTTGTCATCTTCCTTAACCAGGGTGCAAGCAAAAGAAAATGAAATAAATGAGAGGTCCCATTTATGGTGATTGTAGGCAAGTTTAGGGGACCATCTTTTTTGGACACCTCCAGCTTTAGAATTGTTATACCCCCAAATTAGGTGCCTGATTCCAGCACGGTGATTGAGATCTCAGAGGCTGGGTGCCTCTGCTCCCTCCTGGGCCAGTGCAGCTAGGTGGGCTTCTCCAAAGTGCAAGCTGAGTATGAGCTGTGTGTCGAGACAGTTAAAACTAATGAGCAGGACAGGGGAAGCTGAGAATGAAGTGAATTGCTGCCTCTCTTTGAAGCTTTGGTGTCTGACTGGAGGGTGCATTTTGGGTGTTTCAGACCTTTAGTGAGTGTGTCTCTGGAGTCCTTTCCTGATTAAAGATGCTGAAGTAAATGTGGGCTTCATGTGTAGTTCCCTGTTAGGAATCCTACAGAAGTGGAGCCAGTTTGAGGTTCCAGCCCCAGCTGCTTGCATCATTCCTCCCCACTACCCCCATTTCATCTCTACACCCCTCCCACCCTCAAAGATTTTTATTCCCTCATCTGTTTCAGAGTATGGCTGTACGAATAGCTTTATGGAATAGTCTGATGGAAAAAGTCAGGCTCCCACTCTCCCCTTCCAGCCTTTCCCTCAGCCTCCCTGAAAAAAAAAAAGAAACCCCATCAGAGGGTGTTTTTGCATTAGTAGACTATTTCACTGAAAGAGTTTGAAGTGTGCCCACGCAAACAGCTGAATCCATACAGCTGAGAGTGCTGTAGTCCTTGGGCAAAGAGGGAGGGAGAGGCAAGATGCTGATGCTGGAATCTTTTAAACTGGATTTGCTGGCAACAGCCAACTGCACCTTTGCTCTCCCTAAAATATCTCCGCAAAGGGAGGCTCTGGTGGTACGAGCGTTCCCTCACGAAGAGGGAGGCTTGTAGTCGGGTCTCTTAGCCAGGTCTGTCTCCGAACAGGATGCCCTTGTGGAGTCACTTGTGTTAGGGATACGTGAGTTTAGTTGATGTACAGTTGTTGCTTTCCCCTTCTCTGGATGCTGGACCATAACCGTGCCAAAGGCAACGTACACCCACGGGAAGAACAAGACAGAAAGGACCATGACAGCTGTCTGCAGATTAGGCTACTCTGTTCATGGGTTTCTACCTCTCATCCTCAGAATTATTTCACCTTTGCATTTGATAATTGTTAAACAAGGAATCAGAGGTAATCCATGTGTCAAGGACTTGATTTCATATCTGCTGTTTTGGGTCAAGGATTACACCCTATCAAGTATAAGGCTGTTACAGCAAAAATGTACAGCATGAGCAATTGCTTTTCAGGCTGTGCCTTCTAGTCTGTTTTTTTTCATAAATAGACTTTGAAAGTTTCCCTATGACAGTTCGCATGTGTTTGTCATTTTTTGGCATTTTTGATTGTCATCCAGGTTACACAGATAAGTCTCAAATGGTAAATTTCTGGAAGTTTTACAGGTGACCAAGGGTAGGTGAGTGATCCTAATAACAATTCTGGTGAAGGTGTGCTCTCACATTAGATTATTTCTTCATCAAATATGTAAGAATCCATATGACAGGTAGTTTTTGACTGTTGTAACTGTAGGAGAAGCTCCATTCTGTTTTTTCCTATTTTATTAACTATCTTTCTCCTCCCAAAAGAACACAGTCCCCTTGTGTGGACTTTCTCACACTTAGTATGATAGCAGTTCTGCAGCTGATGTTTTTCTCCCACAAAGATTCATTGATACCTGAGTTGTGGTGGTCTCCTGCTGCTCTCTTAAGGTAGAGCTATGTCTTTTAGTTCAATTCAAGAGCGTGCTCAAATCATCCGTGATCTCAGACCTGACTTGTTTCAGATGAAACTAAACTGAAAATAGGCTTTAGGAGGATACCTACTGTGCTTCAGCTGCTGATGAGCTATCACATCACTGGACCAGGTCAGAACTGGTGATAAGAAACTCTCCCAGAGATGCGTGTAGCGTGGATGTTGGTTTCTCACCACCAGCTGTTTTGCTTTGTAGATCTGTTCCTGTTGGTCTACACTGCTTGCTAATCTAAATGTAAACTCGATTTAATTCACTCTTCTGCTGAATCAGCTGACTGAAATGCATCCATTGAAAATGCGGTTTTGTTATTGCTGATGCCCTCAGAACAACAACAAATGCAAGTTCTGAGCTCCGTGTTGTCTGTGTTTGACTATCATAGAGCCTTGCAGGAAAGCGAGTCTTGAGCATTTACTGGCACCCTTGTTTTTATTTTTTTATTTTTTTAAAATTTTTTTTTAGTTGCATTGATGCATAAGGGGGCATTTATGTACCCAGCAGTGTGATCTTTGAGATCTATTGTAGGAGTGCACAAGGTAAGGAGGTGCCTAAAAAAGCCTTTGGACTAAGTAAGTGTATGATAATGAATCTTACAGGCTGGAGCAATGTGATTTAACTTCCCAAATCTCACCAGAATATACTTCAGCTGAATAAAATTTGCTTAAATATTGTGTATATATATTTCTACAAATTACTTCCTATTGGTCTTTAGTTTTTTTAAGAGATGGAGCAAAAAAGGGTATCAGCCACATGAGAACTGAGGAAAATCTGGTCCTGTGTTGCAGCATACTTATCACTTCATGTCTCGGTTCACATCTGTTTAAGCTATCTGTTTTTAGCTTTTTGTTTCCCTGGCAATGTGAGCAAACACCATATTACTGTAACTTCTAACAATAACTCTCTGTTTCTGTATTCTGCTGTACTAAGCTAGTCCCAAAGAGATTCACATAAAATCACTCTTTGTAACCAGCTATATTTCATGTGGACACTATCTGTAAAATAATTATGTATTCCTGATGTCCACATACCCTACAAGGCTATTAGTGTGTACCTACATAGGCATTTCTGATAATATCCAGTTCTAACACTAGCTCTGTATAATATAAACTCTATAAAAACCTGAAAATATGCACACCTCTAGCCATGGCAATATTCCACAGTTCTAAATATCATGTGCTTGAAATGCTCAACAAAAAAACCCCAAGAAGTTTAAAAATAATTATTATAGTGGCGCCTTTCTTGCTGCTGTGTAGCTGAAGCCCTCCTCACCATCTGCCCTGGTATGCAACTGAGATTTAAAACTGTCTTGTAAATAAATTGTGGTCTGAAGTTACTGATACAGCCTGTCCTAGTACTTGGAGGTAAGGGTGTCTGTAGCTACATTCTCAGCAGGTACCCTCTAGTGCCTCAGTAAGTTACCAGCTTCTGTCTCCAGCTATGAATTCTATGGATTTGGGGAATAATTTACACTTTGAAAGGCATGTGTATAGTGTTACATACGTGGTTCCCTTTTAACTTGATGCCACTGTTTCCTGCCTCTTGCAGTTAGTTTCCCCAGTCCATAGGCTTCAGAATGGTGGGAATGCATTGTTAAGGGCAGAAGGAGTCTCGGGTAACGTGGAGAAGCAGTGACTGAGGGATATGATTCTGAAACAGAAGTGCACCAAACTCCTTATGTGAAAGAAACTCCATGAATAGCAGTGGATTTCAGTTGAGGAGGAGAAGGATGGAGTTTAGCTGTTTGAGTCATTGGTCTTCAGCCAAGTAGGACCGGGTAAGGCTTAGATCAGAGCCGATAAACTAGCTTCTCATCAAAGGGATCAATAGAGAGTAGTAAGGATCCTTTTTTTACTGCACTACCCTGTAAACACAGTTTAGGACGAATACTGTCTCCATGGGCACCAACCTAAAAACTTCCAAAACTTTAACTTGGAAACTATACCTTAAGTTGAACATTCCTGCAAAATACTGAATCCATTGCTTAAAATGGTTACAATAAAAGTTATTTAACAGACTGCATTTGTCTGGCCAAGGCAGTAGATCGCATAACTCGGACTGGACGCGCCCAGCCGAGCTGCTTCCATGTTGCCGATGGTATGGAATGTGGAGCTGGCTGAACTGGACGCAACGCTCCCTCTCAACAGCTAAGATCAAGCGATGTCTGCTGAACTTCCAGGCGTGGTTTGATAGACTAGTTCATGAGATGGAGTTCTGAAAAATATTTAACTCTCTATGCAAAGGGATAGTTAAATATTTGTGAAAAATCTAGCAGTAACTTGAAACCAAACTCCAAATTGGAACACATCTCCTGCAATGTTGTTCAGGGTTGCACGTCACAAAAGCATCAGTCTCTTTCTTTTAAATGTTTGACCTGCGTCTGTAATATCAGTAAATTAATGCAAGGCATTGTTTTTTCATAACTCTGAGGTTCCCTGCAAAGACCAAAATACTTAAATATGGTATTTGCACTGTAGCGAAGATGCTAGAGGAGGAGATGCCATGTAAAGTATCATCAAATAAATATATGAACAACGATAAACAGGAACTTGAAATTTTGCAAACTGTGCTATTAGTGCAGAAATGCTAGTCAAGTGACTTGAAATTAATTTTAATTTTTAAATCTTTTTTTAAAATAAATTCACTCTTTCGTTAATGTTGTATTTCAGTAATCACCTAGGGAAGAGTCTGCAGCTGCTGATGGACAGAGTGGATGAGATGAGCCAAGACATTGTTAAATACAATACCTACCTGAGGAACGTAAGCAAACAACAGCAGCAGAAACACCAGGTTAGTAACACAGAAAACCTGAATGAGAGGATTTTTTTTCCACAAAATATGGTGTGGGTGATGTTGTCTAAGACAGATGGATTTGGATCTAAGCAAGATAAAATTCTTACAGAAATACATCCATTAAGTGGAGTTATAAAATGTGCTAGTCAGTGGGGAATCATCAAGTGGATTCACTTCTGCTGACATGTAGTGTGGATTTGTCTTTTTTTGCCATTTTACATGCTCGTTTGTGATTTATGATAAACCAAAATAATTGATAAATATGCTGTGAATACAGGGACTAGAGATTTAGTAAATGAAATGAAAGAGCTGACACTACAAGTGAGCTGTTCCAAAACAAACCGTGGTTTAATACCATCACCTGTAGTCATGCATCTAGAAATAAACAAACATAGTCCCTGTTTGAAAGACAGTGGTCTGTTCTCTGATCGGAAATTACATTTTAGTCATGATTTGTATCAGACAGTGATACTGATCAGGTGATGCTGGCTTTTAATTCCTGATGCCAAAGGGCCTCTTTAAAATCCAAAATAGTCTGATTAGAGAATACTGAGTCCAGACTGGCTCTAGGTGGCCCTGCTTGAGCAGAGGGGTTGGACAAGGTGACCTCCAGAGATCCCTTCCAACCTCAACTGTTCTGTGATTTGGAAACGGTATTACTGTATGTGCTGTTGCTGCATTTGATAAAGCAGCAGTGTGTCTAATTATAGAAGAATGCTGGTAAATTGGAAAAAAGCACAATGAAATGATTTAAAGGCCTGGAAAGTAGATCTTAGTGAACGCAATTCACTTCACATGAGACATTAATGAGTGACTTGCTTACTCAAGAAGTACCTGCATGAAAAATAAATTTGAACTCTTTAATCTAGCAGATGGAGATACAACAAGATTCAATATCAGCCAACTGAAAATGGGCCAGGCCACTTTAAAGATAAAATATTGCACGTATTGCTACACAAAGTAGCTAATTACTAAAAAGAACACCTTTGGTTCATGTAAAATGCTTCATCACTGACTATTTTAAAATAAAAATTGGCTTTTTTCACTTAAATAAAGCATAGCTAGAACAGGGAGTACTTTAGGGAAGCAGCACGTGATCAGTGGCCTCTCCAGGCTTTGTAATTCCTGAGGACATAGAAGCTTCATGCGTGTTATCTTCAGAAAATTCATTTTCCTTTGCTGCCTAATTTGAATAGAAAGATGGCATCCACTTCAAAGCTTTTTTGTTAATAACAAAAGGATCTATTTATTTAGAAAAGCAGAGCAAAGTAGGTTCCATGGTGTCTCACTTCATTTCTTCACTAACTATAGCTGCTTTAGTAGTGGCTCATTGCAGCATAGTTAGTGGTCTTAACTTCATTTTTAAAATGGAGCAATTGTGATTAGGAGCAAGCCGTTTCAATAGAGAATAATAGGCAGACTGCTGAGAAGTGAATGGGGTAATGCAAAGAAAGAAGAAACTACATGCAATTCACATACAAATATGGGCATTTAAGATTTTATTTTTAACATTGTCCAAAAACATGTATTTGTCACTACTACTGGAAAAAAAATTACTTCATTTGTGTATGCCACCAAGTAGGAACTGTTTTCAGAGTCTTATGCACAGATACATTTCAGTAAGTGAGAGAAAACACTCTGTCCTCTTTGGCCTGTTTATTTTAAAGATTTTTATGTGTTGGATACGAGGGCCTCGCTAGACAAACCTTACAACTAATAATTCCTGGCTGTGACATACAGCATGAAGTCTCACATACATGGTTTTGAATGTATGTACTTCTGCAAGAACGAATGGTCATCCAGTAGCTGAAGAAATGGTCTGCTTTAGCTTTTATAAAGTGTGAGTAATCTACATCTTTCTTCAAGTGAAGCTCTGAAAACACCTGATTTTTTATTAATTTTTTTTTTAAATAGCAGAATAATTTCTACAGACTACTACTCTAGTATGTCTTCTGGTGACCCACAAAGAAATGACATCAAAGTGGCAGAGCATGTAAATAACTGTAATGGAGAGGTGAACCATTATGCTTTGCTTCAGCCACCACTGTTCTCAGTTTAGAGTTAATATTTTTTGGCTTAAAATACCGTGTTTAATGAAGTTCTTTTCCCCTTTCGCATTAATATTGTTTTGACCTTTAACTTGCATAAAATTGAGTATTTCTGGTTTGTATAACCATTAGAGGTAATAGCTTCACATACTTACATATTCCAACCTTGTTTCGTGGGGAAGTGGGGGCCTTTATCTACCGTTGTGTATTCTTTCCATCTTTTCCATGAAAATTTTTTTAAAAGGAACCCTGCCACCTCAGTATCGCGTAATTTTCCAGTGCCTCACTTATTTAAGGTGCCAGCTTAGGGAAGGAAATGCTTGTTACCAGGGAATTGAAATAAACTGTGCATTGCTTTTGCATTATTTGAAATAAAGTTAATTGAGTTGAATAAGTATAATTTTTAAAACTTACTTGCTGGTTAGGTAAAAAGCATCTAGAAAGAAAAACTTTTTGCTGCTTTGGAAGTCCTGTTGTATTCTGTTTCTCTTGCTTTATTTTCAGTACCAGCAGAGACGTCAGCAAGAAAATATGCAGCGTCAAAGCCGAGGAGAAGCCCCTCTTCCTGAGGAGGACATCAATAAACTTTTTAAACCTCTACAGCCGCCTGCAAGAATGGAGTCACTCCTTATTGCAGGTAATGTTCTAACAGCCTCTTCAACTCATCTTTTCATATATGAATGTTAGCTTGGAAGTTGTTATCTTAGAAAGCATCTTAATTTTTCATTACCTTTGCCATCCTGGGGTGGTATCTTGGCATTGGTAGTATTCCAAATACTGTCCTTCATTTGGTCAAAGGCAGTGGTTTCAACCTGTGATCTACAACCCTAGTGTCTGAAGTACTTAAAAAAAAAAAAGTTGCTAAGAAAACCAATCTTATTGTTCATAGGCAGTCTATGTCTCTTTTAGAAAGTAAGCTTCCACTTGCAGCAGAATTTTAAACCATCTAGGTAAGTAACAGAGGCATGTTACCCACGCAGGCATGGGCATATGTAATTTTTTGAAAGCAAGCTACTGTGTTGAACCAGAATGGCTGCATAAAGCTTTAAACTTGATGTATGGAGACTTTCTCCCTTTCTGTTTTATTTTTGCCGTGGTACCTAGCTCCTGCTTGATTATCTGGGCCTCCTGGGTTGCTGGGAAAGGGCAGGAGCACCAGCCAGAGCATCTTCCTGGCTCCATTCCGAAAGGGTGAAATGGGATTTTAAAGGAGAGCTGGAGAAATGCCCCACTGAGCAGGCTTTCTGCACAAATGGGTGTAGCAACTACTGCAATCAGTAAGCTGCTCCCTGCACTCATACCTCAGTTCCTCCCTCAACTCCCGAAGTTAAGGGGGCTGTATGGACAACAGTCAGAAATAAGCTGTTTGGGCTGGAACTACTGATTCAGAGCAGAGCAACTGTCTGCAGCCCTAAGTTTCTGATAACGTTGCTAGGTGTTGAACTGGCTGTTGCAGCAACTGAGAAGATTTTACTTTTAATTTCACACAGAATTGGGATAATTTCTGTGATTTCTACAGCCAGAGTTTTAGGGGAACTATCCCCATTTTCCTGCACCCCAAGGTGAAGGAAAATGTAAATGGGAGCAAAATGTAGGGATTTTTGGTCATAGAATCATAGAATGGTTTGGGTTGGAAGGGACCTTAAAGATCATCTAGTTCCAGCCCCCCTGCCATGGGCAGGGACACCTCCCACTAGCCCAGGTTGCTCAAAGCCTCATCCAGCCTGGCCTTGAACCCCTCCAGGGATGGGGCATCCACAGCTTCCCTGGGAAACCTGTTCCAGTGTCTAACCACCCGCACAGTAAAGAATTTCTTCCTAACGTCTAGACTAAATCTACCCTCTTTCACCTTAAAACCCTTACCCCTTGTCCTATCACTCCACTCCCTGATCAAGAGTGTTTCCCCATCTCTCCCGCAGCCCCCTTTCAGTACTGGAAGCTGCTCTAAGGTCTCCCTGGAGCCTTCTCTTCTCCAGGCTGAACAACCCCAACTCTCTCAGCCTGTCCTGGTATGGGAGGTGCTCCAGCCCTCTGACCATCTTTGTGGCCCTCCTCTGGACTTGCTCCAACAGGTCATGTCCCACCCCCTCAATTTACTGGTGTGCTGCTGTACATAGCCACAGTTTGGTACAAAAGTTGGTGCCTGTCCTGTGCCTCCTGGAAGAGTCAAAGTATCTGGGACCTCACAAGGGCAACAGATCAGAAAACCTAGAAGCCCTGCTAAGTAATCTAAATCTGGAAAATATAATGAGAAGGCAAATTATTTAACTATAACAGGCTTTTTGGATCAGTTAGCTATCACCTTGTTTTGTACTGAGAGAAGATTAAACCAAAGGAATTTAGTGTACAGAAAAGAGAGCTTTGACATTAAAAAAAAAAAAAAACGTTAATTTGAACTACCACTCTTAAATTTTGGAGTGACTGAGAGATTATTTTAATACTAATACTTTTTCACACTGCTAATAAGTACTATTTTTAGAAGAAATAATGTTCTTGATTTATTATTCCTTGCAGAGTCTTTCACAAAAACCTATTGTTTTGGTAGTTTTTACCAGTTGATGAATCCTAGCAGCATTAAAGTATTTAAACATTCAGCTTTAGCATAGCTTAAAAATGCAACAGGAGTTTGTATGTGTGTACACATGTGTTTTATGAAGGTGATAGCTTAGGATGAATCATCTCTTATAAGAGGAGGAATTGAAAACTGTTCTACTTAAAGGAAAAAACAGTTTGCAGCCAAAGTACTCTCTTTGTTTGTTCTTTTACTGTAGTCAGGGGAAGAATTGAAAGCATCCACTTCAACTCAGATGAAGTAAAGTTTGTGGATACAGAACAAAACTTAGCTCTTTTGTCTCTGAGGCATTTAAAAACTTTTCAAATAGAGCATTAAATTGAGAGTTTATTGGCCTTCTAAACAGTCTTAATTTTGATTAAACTGGCTTCATGTTTTGCTATTCCTAGCTAACAAGGGAAATAACTTGTAGCAATACTTGTATAAAAAAGTTTTGATGGGTGTGTTTGATTTGTAAAGCACTGACAAATCTTCATACCCTGATGAGTTTTGAAATAGCAAATAAAGTGAAATATTAGGTGAAAAAAAGGCTAGCAAAATGTCAAACAGGAGTACCACAATTTTTAGTCTGCTCCTGGAAAATATTTGTTACAAATATTTTAATAGGGACAACAGATGCATAAGAAGAGAACTGAAATACAGCCCTGTAGTATTTTTAGGGCAACTAAATTGAACAATTAATGTGATTAAGCTTTCAGTACAGCAGCAAGAATTGTTTATTTTATTGTCATATGTCTTTTCAGAAGTTTTATTTAACAGAGTTGTAGGAAAATTAAAGGGTTTTAAAGCATACCAGTTTACCTATTCTGCTAATTTAGTTTCTTTTTTTTTTTACCAAATTTATTTGGGAATACTGAAAATGTAAAATTCATAAGTGTAGAGTTGTCAGGCGGCTTGGTTGCTTCTCTGTATAAATCCTGGATGATTCATGCAGATTTTACTTTTTAAATGGATGTTCTAGGATGTCTTTCTGAATTTCAAAACTGACAAGGGTTTTTTCTTCTTTCCTCTTCACAGGTCAGATTAATACCTACTGCCAGAATATTAAGGAGTTCAATGCACAGAACCTGGGCAAGCTTTTTATGGCTCAGGCTCTCCAAGATTACAACAACTGAAGAAACTTTGCTGTAGCCCTCACCAGAAAAAGATAATTGCAGTTTTCTACTGTTCATGATCCTCTTGAAAATTTAGTATATTTGGAAAAGAGTCTTGTAAAACAGTCACCTTGGTTTGTGTAGAATTCTCCTGTAAGGAAAATAAAGGCAAATTTTAATGATATTTTAGTATTTCCTTATTTGTTGGCCCTGTTGGACTGGAATTTTCTGTGGTCACTCAGGTTTTCTAAATGTTTGGCAGTTATTCATGTTTAGTCATAACAAATAATACAGGTTTTATTTAACTATTAATCTGAAATAAAAACAAATTGTTACAAATGTTCAGTATAGCTGACTTCACAAAAGAAATGTAAGATTTCCCAGTTTTGGTTAACTTACAACCATAATACTCTAGTCACTTGGAGCAGTTACTCATTTTACTTTAATCTGTTTGGACAGTCTGGTGCAATAGAACTTCCATATCACAAATATTTCATAGGCTTCATGTTCGGAACGTACCCAACTAGCGTGATGTGGAGACTGATCCCCACCATATCCTGTTAAGCAGTGTTCCCATTCTCCATTGCCACCACCAACTGGATTGAAATCCAGTGATGCTTCTGAAGTCTTGATGACAGAAACTGTAGAAGTAGCCAACCTGGAGCAGCTGGGGTGGTGTAAATGGACACCATACTCACTCTGCATTAAGTTTGCCATCTGGATGTGCCCTTACTCCTGAACTCGGGCTGCTTATCTTTTTAACAAGAATGTTAATTTAAGGGTTTAATACGTGGCAACTCACACATGTTACTGTCGTTCATTTCTTTTTTCCTTGAGTTCTTTCTTGTGTGTGGTGTGATGAGTTCTGAGAGCCTAAAATGGCTGAAGGAGTGTGGTTTGGTCTTTTAAAATAAATAACATCCTCTAAATATGGACCTAGCATGGAATATTTCAGCTTCTAAGGTGAATGTTTTGGAAAGTCAGAAGCGTGTGAAAACTGGGCATTAGTGACTAAGAACTTATTCTTTTCCAGTCTAAACTATAGTGATTGCAGTGTTTATGTAAATATGATGCAAATTTTGTTCAGCTCTCACTTATCTGGCAGATTGCCAGTCTTCTCTTTTGCCTTGGAAACTTTGGGTATATTTTTGTGAGCTTTCATAGAGTGAACTTCTTTGAAAGATTCGTTCAGTATCATGCTACAGTGCCACATGATAGATTAATTTCCTATACAAATAATATTCAAAACATGTTAATTTTCTAGTTTTCTGAAGCACCAAAAGAACCACCAGGGAACAGAAGTGGGAGCAGATAATTAGACTAAGATGAGACATTTGAGATAGAAAAAACTGATCTGGATAACTGGGAATAGAAGACTGGCTCTGTAGTGACTGTGTATAGAAGGAAGCAGCAGTAACATTATACATGCTAGAAGCTCTGCAAAGAAGGTGTTAGCAAAATAAATACTTGGAATAGGTTAAAAACAAGTTGTGTGTTTTGAATTAGTTCTTTAAGATTGAGGATGTAAATGTGAGAAAGAGGGCGGTAATATTCTAGGGTGCTGGACTTTAACAAGATCAGGGAATTTTATCTAGCTAAATTGGATGTGCTACATGTCAGTTAAAGCCTATGAAGAAATGTGGAAGACTTCAGTAAAGATTTGTGGCTTCTAAAGGTATGGGATTGAGTCAGGGAAATGAGATACAAAAGCAGGTGAGGTGTAAGTAGGCTTTGGCGATGATTTCGACTGTTCTTTTCTGAATCACACTTTGCTCCTCTGTCGTGGGGAAGATCATTAGAGGAAGCCTCCCTGAGTGAGGGAGGTGGAGTCAGATGAAGCTGTTGGTCTATAAAAGACAATCAAGAGCTGCTGTGGAGATTAGGAATTAAAAGGGATGGGGCTGTGTCTCCATGCTGGATTTGGTGTGAGCTTTCCCCATTATCTCTGTATTCTTTGAACTTCGCTTTTATATGTTCTCTTCCTAATGTGAATGAGCTGGCAGCTCGTTCACCGTAAGGTGTGTCCTTTCCATTTCTAATTGTCGTAGCACTACCTATTTTTTCTCCTTCCTTGGTTGTGAAAGGCTTTTCTGTATACTAATAAAAATGTAATGATATTAGAGTCTTTAAAAATCACCTCTTAAGAAGTTAGAACTTCTTTTCGGTCAGTGAGCCTGTTGTCATTGCAGAGGCAAGCGAAGCCTCTGCCCCATGGTTCCATCTCCATCATGTCCACGGGTAATGCATATGCACACAGGAGACAAAATGTGCGTGTAAGGGAAAACCTACTGTGCAGTCATTAGCTATACACATAGTCCACATCTAGTCACTGTCTCTCCTGTCACACTCCTAACCATGCAGGTCTGTGTTAAGGTAATAGTTTTGTAATTGGTTTTTGTTTGTGCAGAGCGTGTAAGAGAAAATGTTACTCTGGAATCTAGCTCTAGTTGGCTTGAGTCTTATGGACAGGTCTTCTAAGCCAGATCTTTTACATGTCTTTCAAATGTGAAGATTCAAGGAGAAGAAAGGGGGTGATTATTTTGATGCTGAAGAAAAAAAAATGTATTTCTTCTAGTTGATGAGTACTTGGGATCTTCAGCAGCATAGCTGGTGTAAGGTGGGGTGGATGCAGTTGGTATCACAGAAGTAGTTAGAAAGTTTGTACTTCTGTAGTTCGAGGAGTCACAGTAATGGATGGTGCATGGCCCTGCTTGGTCACAACACAAAGTGGAATAGATTCATCTCTGAGCCTTTCTAACAGTCTGAAATGTGTCTGGTTATACTGACAGCCCTGAGGTTATCTTCAGGACTGGCAATAGGAAAGGATGATAAACTTTGGACCATCTGCTTGCTTAACTAAAAAAAATAAGTGTAATTCCTGAGACTTGGTTAACTGCCACAGTTGTTTTCAGAGACTAGTCCTTAGTAATAAGAAAATGAAACTAGGAGAGCTTTTCTCTAATCCAGGCATATTTGGTGTGCTGTTATCTTGACATCAAGATCTGATGTGCTATTTCCATTATCCTTTGGGTGTTCCCAAGGTTGGGCCAAACTCCATCTAAACTGTAAGCATTCTGCTGCTGCCTGCCCACGTGGAGGAAACCTGGGGTGCTTTCCCCCCTTTTACACAAGTTATCATCTTCTTTTTCTTCTCAGTTCCACACAATGCTCCCCCAAGTACTTAAACATTCTAGACTCTGACTTTTTACTCCTCTGCATCCTGTCAAACGTGGTCTTTTGTGCAGAGCTGAATGGCATGAGTATAAGGTCCTGCCAGGTAAGAACGGTCAGCGTTAGTGCAGATGTGAACAACTGCACAGAGTACAGCCTAGAGAAGGTCTGGGTGAGGCTGCAGATGTCTGTTCTGGTGCTAACAAAGCCATTGGATTGGATTGGCAGTGGCAGCTGTTGTGGTTTAACCCCAGGCAGCAATGAGCACCACACAGCTGCTTGCCCACTCCCCCTCGCCCGCCCCTCCGTGGGGAGGTAGAGAGAACTGGAGGAAAAAGGTAAGAAAACTTGTGAGTTGAGCTAGGAACAATTGAATGATCTAAATAAAATACTGCCACTACTACTGCTACTGAATTGTAATGACAAGGAAAGCAACAAAAAAACCCCAAACCCTAAGAAAAACAAGTGATGCAACCCGCTCACTGCCCGCTGACCAATGCCCAGCCAGTCTCCGAGCAGCAATTGTGTACCCCAGACAATTTCCCTAGCTTACATACTGAGCATGACGTTTTATTTATGGAGTATCCCTTTGGTCAGTTTGGTCAGCTGTCCTGGCTGTGTCTTCTCCCAGCTTCTTGTGGAGAAGAAGCTGGGAGGGCAGGGGCAGTATGAGAAGCTGAAAAAGTCCTTGGCTTAGTGTAAGCATTGCTGGGCAACAACTAAAACCTCAGTGTGCTATCAACATTGTTCTCAGCACGAATCCAAAACATAGCTTCATATGAGCTACTGTGAAGAAAATTAATTCTATCCCAGCCAAAACCAGCACACAACCAGGAATACCTGCAAAGAACCACCTCACATCTTTGTGTTTATGCTCTTTATGCGTTGCAAATTCCTGGGCACAGAGTCATTCATTGATCTTGTTGGTTGGTCTTGCCTAATTTTTTGCCTTCTGATAAATCTCTGATATGATAAATCGCTGGTGACAATCTCAGACATCTGCAAGAAGCAAGCACTACTTATTGGTTCTCACTCCATAGTCAAAGGACTCCTGGTGCTCTGTTAGGAAGTCGTTAGGAGCTGGTGATGCGAACAATAATCACCAGCCGAATATGTGCAATGTGTGCAGTAAGAGGAATCGAATTGCTCTCTGTAGAACTGCTTCTCATCCAGTTTGCCAGCCCTGGGTTGAAAGATATGTCCCGTATGAATTTCCATGCCTGTGCATTTTCTTCCCCTGGATTTTATACTTCCTTTTAATTTTCTTCAGATTTTGCCCACAGTTTGTTGATTTTTAAGCAAAAAGAGCATACTGCTCTAAATCCCAGTGCCTTCTGTCATTATGTGCTTGACTTTTCCATTAATTCTCCTGGAAAGCTTTGTCTGCGGTTGGAAGGATGCTTTAAATTTTGTGATCTGAAGATGGAATTCATGGTGGAAGTTTCAGTTGCTCAGGTGCTGGGTATGGTCCCGAGTTCAGCTTTCTGAAGCCTCCAGTCTCCAGCTGTAGGGGACGGTGCTGCTGCTCCTTGGAACTAGTCCAGAGGGAGCGATTCAGAAGCTTTTCATACCGATTTTACAACTGGAAGGAGGTTTATACAAAGTTGGGCTTGTGTTTTATTTTTTGATCTTTTAACTGACAGACCAGATTGCTGCTGACACAACTTGTCATATGCTGAGCAGTAGCGAATTGCATGGAGCTGCAGAGGATGTCTCTAAAAACAGCAGCTTTGGCAAAAGGCTCCTTAGTGAGGGAAAAGTTAATGTCTTACTTCAATTAAAGCAAACATTTATATGTGAGGAAAAATGGCCAGATCCATTTTACAATGATATTAAAAGGCATTAGGATGTCAGTAAAATAAACAAGGAAGGGTGGCAATGTATTTATCCAGCAGACCCAGCTAAAGACTTCAAAAGCTTTATAAGACAAAAAAGAATGTGTGCAACAAGGATTTCCATTCTTGTTTACGTGATCGATTTATTAATCTCTCACCATGACTGAGGGTAGTGTTC